GAGTCTCCTGTCTGGCTCGGTACAGCTGTTCTGGAGCAATGTGGGACATCAGCTCTGGAGTAAGGACATGGTGGCAGTTTCTTCCTGCCATGTCACCCCTCAGCAACTTTCAGAGGTGTCCCCAGCAACTCAGTCTCTCCCCTGCTTCTGCATCTTCTGTCTGCTGAGAAAATGTGGGAGCAGGCCCTGCCTGACAGCTTGGGATGGGAGATGCATTATTGACAGTCTCCAGAAAGGTGAAAGTTCACCTGGTGACCTTTGTTGTCTCTTGGTTTTGATGGAAAAAAAAGCCATGCTTGAGACTGCAGGGGCAGGTGGGGCAACGAGAGCCCCAGGCTGCGGAGCGGTGCTGCGGGGTGTGCGTCTAACGTGGCTTGACTCCACCATCAACTTGTTCCCAGTGAAGTGGGGATGGTGTTTCCATTCTCCCTTTATCTGATCTGTCCAGGTAACATCCTTCACCACCTCTGATGGTACGTGTGTGTGCTACAGCTGACGTCATATGACTTGCAAGTAATTCCATGATGTGTAAAAATAATCTCTTCCTCTAGGTCTTAGTATATTGGAGAACACGTACAGAGGCCGAGCCATCTCCAGGAATGTCAGAGCAGGGACAGTGTCACTCTGAAGGAGATGCATGTCCACAAGAAGGGATCGTACTTCAACCCTATGAAGAGGAGCAGTGTCTGTAACACATTCCTCTAAATTATGCTGATAAAAAGTTTTAATGCCAACTTCTTATACAGTTGAAAGATGCCACTCGCTACCCGCTTGCCTGGTTAGATAACGAGTTTGCTGTTTTATGGTGACAGTATTGAATCTCTGAGCTATTGACACTTGTGCTCGAGAAGTGTGGTGATGATAGATGAATGGCTCCAGGCTGGAGAACTCTCTTTCTTTTGCCTGTCTACGTTCTATGTTTCTGTCTGGCCTTTTTGCAGGTAGGAAAGGCATTTGTAAGGCTTCTTATGTTGTGACATCTTGTGTATGAAAAGGCATCTTCTGCTCGGTCCTTTGCAAGGTCGTTTGTTGCCAGAAGCTGAGAGATGCAGGTGGAGTCCTGACCTTGACAGATTGACTCATGTGTTGGTCTGGGCACACTAACCCTCTTTAAAGTTTCTTGTCTGTCTTCTTTGAGACTAGTCCTGTGCAGGAGACAACCAGTAATTTGGTTTGAACGTGATCTCAGATTTGAGTATTGGCTTCACAGGTCTTGTAAGTGTTCTTTCAGTATCTTCTCTTCCAGAGTAGTTGGTTCAGCAGATTTAGTTTGATGCTTTAAAACTCCATTGATTCTCTGATGATGTTTGCATGCCGTGGTTTGCTGTCTGTTTGTATCAGGAGAACAGCTCTAGGTACAGCGATAGCACAGAACTTGTGGCATCGCTTGTGCCTCACCAGTTCCTCGTGGTTTTGCTTATGGGTGGCTCTTTTCCCACGTGGCTGTTTTGGTGCCTGTGGTATCGAGAGTAATTTCCATAACGTGTTGGGTACCTCCTTGAATAGGTGATTTTATGCCATAAACCCAAGTATTGTGTGGAAGGAGGGATTCTGGAGAATTCAGAAACATGACCACAATATGTGGTTGGTTGGATGGTCTCTTGACTGTAACTCAAATCATAGTAGAGTGGGTAATGGGCAAAAATGGGTGGAAATCCCGTGAGTGGAGAAATTGCCCTGAATTTTTAGTAGGGGTTAACATTTTAACATTGAACTGAGTTTTTAACAGGGAAATCAAAAGAAGAAATGGCCACACTGGGACACGTGACATCTGACTTTCAGGAAGCAAGTTTATTCCCAGCAGCAAGTGCCATTATTTGCCCTGGGAAATGCTGTAGACATGTCGAGTGTAGTGAGAAGCTGCAAAGAAGGGATTTCAAGTGAGACACCTAAAACCAGCACAGATGCTGGAGAAGATTGACCTTAAACTTTCTGCCCTTTGCTGAGAAATGGGGAAAATACCGTTGTAGTTTTCAGAGGTGTGCTGAAAAAAAGGTGCTTTTGGAGTAGTCATTGAGTGTCGTGATGGATGCTGAAGAAGTTCCTCAAAGAAGCACATTTTTAGTGTGTAAAAATCGTGGCTGAGCATCAGGTACTTACTTGATATTTCTTCCTAGTCATTCTGCAGATGCCCTCTGTGCTCTGCACTGCTCTGACCTCCTCGCTGAGCCTGCTTTGAGCAGGAGGTTGGACAGGATGACCTCCCGAGGTTCCTTTCAACCCAAATTACTGTACGCTGATGTCATTGGAAACCAGTCCCGTGGAACGCCCCGTGTGTGCCCGTGTAGCCGAGGGCTGCGCTGCACAGGGGGTGGGCAGATGCTGCGTGAAGGGAACTGGATTTCTGACGCTGCTGCGGTTGTGAGATCTGGTCTCTGCAAACTGCACGTTGTTTTGATTTGTGTCGGTGGCCACAGGGCAGTGGCTTCCCCTGGGCTGGCTGCAGCAGCTCCCACGGCCTCTTCCTCCACCAGCCCTTGTCTGTGCCCCCAGCAGAGACAACTGAAAGGGACTTGTCTCCTAAAGCGGCTCTGTGTGGATGTGTTGGGCTGGACTCAGTTGGTGCTGACCCACTTCAACAAGGCAGGATGTGAAGTGTGACGATTCAGTAGAACATCCTGCTCGTTTATTCCTCCCTACTTCCTTAATAGTATTTTTTTTTTTTAGTTTGGTCCAGCCTAATTTATCCCAAAACATGGGGATGGAGAGGTAGTAGGTTATGCCATGGATGGAGCTTGGTTGTGAAGGAGGAGAGTTGGAGAGTAAAATTTCACTAATTTACTGGAGCGGAGCAGCAGAGCTGGGAGGAAATGCGTTTGCTCAGTTGCCTGTGCCAGGCCCTTTGTTAAAAGTTTCTAATCTTTTGGTTTTACAGACTTTATCTTGGGAAGAAGACTTGATGTTTCTGATATGTCAAATCTACAAAATATAAGTGGAGGAGGCACTTACGAAGAAATGTATTTGAGCTGCAGTTACCCTTGATAAAGATAGAAAGTTCCTAGCCAACTGGGAAAAAACCAATAATGAACCAGTTCTTTGAGAAGAGAGGAGCCAGTGAGCTGTACAGTGATCAGTGTAATTTCAGTCCCTGGAAGGATTCTTGGACCAGCTCATTAAACAGCTTGCCAGGGTCTATAACATCATAGGATAAATAGATGCTACACAGCTAATTCTGATATATATGATCTGGTCTTGATAAATCCATCTAATTTCTGTTTGATGAGAGAGATGGCTTATTGCTTGAAACAAGCAAGTGGTGGCTATGGATGATCTGAGTTCAGTAGGATTCTTGAAACGAATTTGCCACAACAGTCATTTATCAGTTAAGAACATACAGTTTGGTAATATTTTTAAGGTGCACAGTTGGCTGAAAACCTCTGCGTGGAGCCGCTAAAACCCAAGGGGCTTTTAAGACCGAGCTCTTGCTCGCTGCAGTAGTGAGTACACCTCGAGTTTAGTAACAGCAGCACTGCAGTCTGCTTGGAGAGCAGAGTTAAAAAGACGCTGGGAAATTGGAGAGATGGCTTAAAATCATTGAAAGAAAATATTGTAAATCAAGTGCAGATTACTGTATATAAAGCGGAAAAAAAAAAGAAATGAATGTATGCAAATTGATTTAAAGATGCAAAATAGAGTCACAGTGTGAGTTTCAACTATTTGTTTATTGCATTTATTCTGACTACTTGGTTCATTTATACTCTTTAAAAATGTGGCTGAAGTGCAATGCCCTACTCGTCTGCAATGTTGCAGACAGCGAGGGGAGTAATTAGTGCTACAGTAAGAGGAGTATTATGTTAAGTACATCTCGGAGCGAGGCTCCCTGCTTTTGCAGCTGGAATAAGAGGCTTTTTTTCCTCTTTTTTAAATGTATGATCTATGAAGAAAGGTTGGAGGAACTGGGCATGTTCAGTGTAAGCATGGGAAAGTGAGAGGCACTTATCTCCTGACCCAGAAAAGCCTCTTACAAGTGAGGTGGATATTAGGAGAAACTCAGATAACCACATTTGTGAAGCCTGGAAATATGCTGCTAAGGAAAGCAGCAGAACTGTTTTTGGGAAGAATTTTCATTAATTTTTTGTCAGGGGTGCTGTTGGCAGGTTTAACCTGTCCATGGGAGTCAGGTTGTGCTAGCAGGACCTCGGGGCATGCCTTCTGCTCCACAGTTTCTACAACTGAAACCTCACAAATGCGTTTCTTAAGCAGACTAGTGAAATTAAATGAAGAATTTAGTACAGTTATTAGCTACCTGGAACTTAAAGTTGCAATTTTAAGCAAATTTATTGAGGCATATGGATTTACCATACCAGAACAGCTTTCCTTCCTGGTTTTTATTTCCTGTGCTCTGTCATCAATTGAATTGATGACAGTTGATCAATAGAATTGGTACAAGTGTTTTAATTTTACCTTTGTTACAGAACTTGCTTGGCAACTGAAAGAACCTCTTGCTTTTTCTGGATAAATTTCTTGCTGGAGAAGGTCCCCCCACCCAAAGGGTTGTGTTCTTGGTGTCAGTGTGCTCAGGCAGGGTTTGCTCAGGATGGTGCTTGGTGTGTTCTGAGCTGTCTCAGGGTCTGGTTTGGAACAGCTGAAGTAATGTTTCCAAATCATTCTCTGGATGAACCCTGCTTGTCTGAAAAGGGACTGCTGGGCTGTCAGTCTTCTGTCTTACCCCATCCTGGATCTTGTCTGTGCATCCCTCATCCCTCACTTGAATAATGATGTTACATTTGGGGGTGTTTTTTTAAGTTGTAAATAATTTGCTTGTTATTAACCTGCATTGCAAAATTTTTTTGCCCACAAGAGAAAGAAATAAGGTGCTGAGAAAATAAATGAAGTTTGTGCAGAAAGCGCAAGGGAGAGTTAATGCTCATGATTCATTTGCTTTGGAATTGTCTTCTCATTCCCCCATACGAGTCATTCAATTGGTATGATGTCTTCCTCCAAACATCTCGATGAGTCTTGCTGTGTGGGAACCAACTTCTTTTTTTTTTTCCTTGCAGAATTTGGTGTTCATTTAGCAGAACTGACTGTAGATCCCCAGGGAGCTCTGGCCATCCGTCAGGTGAGTTTACCTGCAACTGTAGAAAGAATTTTGATGGTTGTTTCTTCAATTTTTAAAATATTCTCTCATGTTTCCAGGTGAAAAATTGGAGGTAGCTGTCCATTACTGCTTCTCCATTTTTCTTTTACATTTCTCTAGAGCTGTCACTATCTTTTTCACCATTATTCAGGTGTTATAAACTTACCTTTTTCGAAAAGAATGCTTTTTGGACTTAAACTTGGTGCTGAGAGAGCACTGTACTGGGAGTGGGCACAACTTATGAGGTGGGTGGTCAGCATCGGCGAGCAGAACTGTGACTTGTCTTTGCAGCAGCTTTTTCGGTAGATGTTTTCCTCCTTGAGAAGGAAGTTTAGGTTCTGTATTTCTTTAGTTACCATGTGGCCCATATCTTGTGCCTTTTTAGAGGTGGGGAAATACAGCTGCTGCCTTGGGTCGATGCCATACAGGCCATCATTGCTCACTGAATGGCCATCAGTTCATCTTTTTACTGCGGTAGCTTTTTTTTTTTTTGTCTATTTCACAAAGATTTTTGCATTTTTGGCAAGCTCTGTTGCCCCTCTAAAAGCAGTATGGTGGGATGTGAGACTGAGCAAATGGGTCACGGCTGATACTTGCTGTGGTTGCAAGTTTTGTTACTGATTCTTTACCTCTCTTCTAATACAGCTAGCGTCTGTCATTTTGAAACAGTATGTGGAAACTCACTGGTGTTCTCAGTCAGAAAAGTTTAGACCTCCAGAGACCACGGAAAGGGTAAGATTTGCTTTCATGTTGTCTACTTTGAGACACTTGATCCGTCAAGAATATTTATTTTGTAGGTGGTTTAAAAAGTGGCAGTTCCCTTGTGTATTTTGAGGATTAGTGGCTTCATTTAAGGTTTTCTGACGTTTTCCTCTTTGAAAATCTGTTTTCAGTTGCTTAAAACAACACTAGACTTGATAAGCTTGGGCTAATTTCTGTAGGAAAAGTTCAACCATAATGTTTCTGCTGCTCTAAGAGCAAGACTAGAAGAAAGCTGCTTTGTAAGTTTTACAAATACTGATTCTGGCAGTTCTTTTTCAGAGATTTATTAAATCTTCTGTTTTTCACTGGGACTTAAAGGCTATTTTCCCATGACAAATTTCAGTTTAAAGGTCTGCTGGGTTTAATTAAAAATCTGTTCAGTAGGAGCATCTAACAGCTAAAACGGCCAGAGATGTGAGCCCTTTGCCCCTTTGACTGCTGACTGGACCATCTTTCACGTCTAGGGTATGATTCATCCTGTCCAGGGACAGTTGCTTGAAATAGATCCCGTGGATTATGCCCCAGAAGTGCTGGCTTTTTTTTCCTGTCCTTTCAGGGTTGAGTGACTAGTTGTCATTTATTAAAATCTTCCAAAGTAAGCAAACATAGACCCTGACACTGGAGCTGGGTTTCATCTTGGATAACTCTGGGTGTCTTCCAGATATCTCCATCCTATCTCACTGCAGCTGTGAGCTATTTACTGTATGCTTGGCCGAGTGCTCTGTGTGAGAAGAGCGCTACGTTACAACACCCCTGCAGTGTTCCATTAACAGATGACGTAGTGTAGTGTTTAAGGTTTCGTTGTCTCATGAGCGTTCATTTTGTAAAACCAATGTTGAATCAATATCAGGAAACAGTCATAGGGGTATATATATTTTTTTTCTTTTTAATTAAGTTGCTTTATGACTGGGGATCTGTTTTGCTAAATGATGTTATTCTCTACAGGCAAAAGTTGCTATTAGGGAGCTCCTACCCAATGGGCTGAGAGAATCGATCAGCAAAGTGCGCTCCAGTGTGGCTTACGCAGTTTCAGCAATAGCCCATTGGGACTGGCCGGAAGCCTGGCCCGAGCTTTTCAATCTCTTGATGGAGATGCTGGTTAGTGGAGATGTGAATGCAGTGCATGGAGCCATGAGAGTGCTTACAGGTATGTGTACGCCAGAGCTTTGGCAAGCCTCACGTGGGAAGCAGTTTAGGCTTTTCCTTACCTTAGTATCCTACCACTTTTCACTCCAAACTGAAGAAATTGGAATTTGCTGCTTCTCTTCTGCTGGGCATGCCTGTCAGTCACCATTGAATTGCCTGCTCGCTAGATGTCAGGAAAGCTGGGGAAGAAGGTTCTGTGCTACAGGTTACAGCTCAGAAGGAACTTTGGTTACAATACCCTGTTTTCCTTGGACCTGCAATTTTTAGTGTGATGTTTTTCTGTTGGCCTTCAAAGGATTGCTGTGGGTAGGCCACATGACACTGGTCTAGTCAAGTACAAATCAATGTGTTTCCAATATGTTGTTAGTGTTTCCCAAAGGTTCTGTTGTTGCTGTTGCCTACAAATTGTTTCCTTAAAAGAGCTTCCCTTCTTTTTCCATTTTCTAGAGTTTACGCGGGAAGTGACAGACACGCAGATGCCACTTGTTGCTCCCGTCATTCTTCCAGAGATGTACAAAATTTTCACAATGGCAGAGGTATGATCTTCACTCTTAATTTGGTACTAATGACATTAGAATGTTTCTTGGAGCAGAGAAACTCCAGATTTAATGGTTAAGCTGTACTATAGTATGAGTTAGACTTAAATAATTTTCTTGATGATGTGATAGTTAATTGTAGCCAGTGTCTCAACAGAAAAGTTGGAGCCAATGATAAAGAGAATCAAGCTATATCAAAAAGTAAATACAATTAAAAGAAAATTAAAGGAAATAAAAGTATCTTGTGTTCCTGATCTATTATTTAAACTTTTTTCTAGGTGTATGGTATTCGCACAAGGTCGCGTGCGGTGGAGATTTTTACCACGTGTGCTCATATGATCTGTAACATGGAGGAACTGGAAAAGGCAAGAGCTGAACTTACCCTACAGCATACATTGAATTCAAACTGAGCAAGTTTGAATTCTAAATAGTTGCTAATATGCAAATGAAATGTTAAGGAATTATGTACTGTGTCAGCTGTAATTCTTGGGAAGAGGGTGTAATTTAATAACATGTAAAGTGGCTAACTCTTACCTTCTCACGCATGCCTTGATGCTCTGACTTGGTTTCTGTAATTAAGTTTAACTTGTGAGGTATCAACAGACGTGCTTGTAACAGCTCAGAGAAAGGGGAGTCATTGTAGGGAGGAGATAGTGTATCATCCCTTTGTTTGGAAATCCTTGTCACAGGTTCCAGTCTCCAGGTGAACTGTGTCCTGGCCCTTGGGCGAGGCGTTGGTTACAAGGCTGGAACTTCATCACTTGCTTTAGCATGTGTGTTAGCCTGTTGTTCCTAAAGGGGTGGTGGAAACCAAACCAAGTATTAGAAGAGCAGCTCTTGAGGAACAAAAACACTGTGCAATTAAGCAGCTTTGTACATGAGTCCCCTGTCTGGTTCTGAGCACATCTGCATTTTATATGGCCTTTGACAAGTGGCTTTCCCAGCACTCCCCAGACAATAAATTGTTCTTCTTAACTTTTTGAGGGGTGAGGGTAGGCAAGAGTGACTCTCAATCTAGTGGCTGGTCATTGCTGAGTGACTGTATCTGCTGTTTCCTCCCTGTTTGCACAGCGAGCAGTTCAGTGGAGACTTTGGGAAGTTCTAATAATTACACCATATCCACTGCACTGACAAGGTTACGGTATCATGCAGCTGGTACAAGTATCCAAAAGATAGGAACAGCTCCCCATTGTCTTATGCTGGAAGAGGGCTGAAAAGTGTCCTTTACATTGTAAACAAAACTGCTTCTGTTGAAATTTGACTTAAAAAGATTGCCTCTTTTTCTTTTTTTTCCTGTAAATTGCTAAGGTGGTATTTCAGAGTTCCTTTAAACATACAACTTTGCTGTCTTAGCTCTGGAGGTATGAGGAATTTTCTCAATAAAATTATTTTTGTCCAGTATTACTTGCTCTGCCAAGCACTGCTTATGGAGTGCTTTGACATCTGGAAAAGTACTGACTGCATTTTCCTATGAAGAATCATGGTAATCTTCAGGCCAGCTGTTGATACTCAGCTCACAAAGAGCCTGTTTGGTGTGGGGGAGGGTGGCTCAGGAGGGAGATAAGTGTCCTCCCAGGGTTCAGTGTAATTGCTGGTGTGTGATGTAGTCACCCCAGGTTTCTTTCATAGCCTGGGGGGGTCTGGGTGGTAGGGTGCATATATCATAGGTGATATGATTCATCTAATCAAGTGAAAATACCTCTTTAGGAGGACATGCACTACTCCTGAGACTCTCCAGACTGGACTGTCTGGATCTTCTATTTAGAGTCTGAAGTGATTAGCTTAGATGTAGATAGTGTTTTGTAGCAGTCTGTGCTGTGCAATTTTGAAGGGTGGGATTCAGCTGAGCTTAGTTCCCAGCATGAGGAGAGAGCCAAAGTGATGTCTGAAGCAAGTACTTCATGTGACTTTGTAACATTCTACCATTGCCATGACTCCCTCTTCAGTTTAGTAGCAGAAAAGTGCAATTTCCATTGCTTCTAGTGCTTTACTTGTCAGCCTTCGTGGTTCTGTGTCTGGTATTCACCTGTGCTTGCATTAATTGTAACCAGGGTGCAGCCAAAGTCCTGATTTTTCCTGTGGTGCAGCAGTTCACGGAGGCCTTTGTTCAGGCCCTGCAAATGCCTGATGGACCTACATCAGACAGTGGGTTTAAGATGGAAGTCTTAAAGGTAAGTCACTTCAGACTGATTAAAGAAAGAATTGAATACCAATATATTGTCAGATGTGCTGGAAAGCAGAGAAGCTTGAGCGCCTGTCACCTCTCCTAGTACTGCCCCTGTTGCAGTGATGTTTTTAGGCTCCCAGCACCATGCAACATTGAAATAAATTGTTCTGCCTGTACTGAAGGTACCTGTGATGAGATGTGTAGGGATCTGTCCATAAAATGATCCACAGGAATTGATCCATAGGACAACCTGCCCTTGTCATTTGCTTATCTAAGACATCTTGGATGCATCTTGTTTGGACACCATGCTTGGTACTTAAGTATCTCTTTTTCTAAAGACGCTGCGGAATTCTGCTGCAATTAAGTTTTTAAAGCTTATTTGCAGGAGCTTTTCTAGACTTGCCTGATAAATTATCTGCAAAAGAGAGACAGAAAGTCTTTGTATTCTCACAGTTTCCCAAATAAAGAAAACTGGGTTGAAGAGCTCTATGTGCGTGGGGACAAGAGTGCCAGTGTAGGTGTGATGATCCCTTCGACAGCTGGGAGAGCACTGGAGGTCTGGGGTGCGGTGCCTGCAGTAGTCTCTTGAAAGATGTGACAGGCTGGGAAAGTATTTGAGGAAATGTCATCATGTTCTTGCTCTGTTCCTTAATAGTGTGTGGGCAGCTGCTTTTGGCCACTGCTGGGTAGGTGCAGTACAAGAGGGATTTCAGTCTGAAGACGCCATTGTATGTTGGGTGGCGTAGATGGCAGCAGGAAATCAGTATGGATTCAGACAGTAAATTCAGGAGATCTGCTGCTGACAAGTGGTTTGTAGGAGGCTTTTTGTGAAGAGATGAGTATTCCGGCTGTTGACTCGGGGCAATTCATGAATTTGTCGCTTAAGAGTTTTTAAGCTGATGATACCAGTTTTCTAAGGGAAAAGGGATCCAGGTAAAAGACCTATAAATTGCCTTCCCTTCCAGAAAAGTGGATTTTGTAGTCATTGTAATGCAGAAGAGACCTCAAGGGATTAGTTAAGCCAGCTCTACAGATGAGATCATTACAGGAACCCCTTGAAATGCTGATGCAATGGAGGAGGGAATTGAGACTTTATTTAGAGTATATTTTCAACCAGATGCAAACTCAATCTTTTTTTCCTTAATGAAGTGCTATGCAGCAGATGACAGGAAGATTTTATTTTTTCCTGTCTCAAGAGCTTTGTACTCCAAGGTTCATGGAGTTCTCAGTGGAAGTCAGAGGCAGCCTTGACCTAAAATGTCTTGTGTTCCTTATAAGAACGTTATGCAGGACAGTGTCGAAAGCTTTAATGAATAATATTGAAGTGCACACATCTGCCTGAGCCACTAGGACAATTATCCTGTTTTAGAAAGTAAGTAGGTTGGATCACATCATGGTGAGCCCCTGCTACTTAATTTGTCCCAAATCTTTCCAATTGTAGTCACAAGTTTAGAAGCAGCTACCAGCAGGAAGGTCGGTGCCTTTAACCCTTGGCTAACGTTTGGCTTTAGCATGTTCTCCTGCTGCTAGTTAGTATTTATTTTACATTTTTTATCCACAAATTTGGGGATTCCTTGTCTGTAAAGACACAAGTAAGAAGTGAAGCACTAAAAGGCTTTAATACAGAGTGACTTTGAGGAGATGTTAAACAATTAGTAGTGAGGTTGGATGTTGGAACAGCTGAGGGGTTCAGAGCTGTCGTGTTTCTCCTCCAGTGGTGATTTCAGTGTGTCTGTGTGGTGACTCAGGCTACAGGTGTGGATGCAGTCAGTTATCACCTGGCTGGACCATTAAATGTCCTGCTTGGGGAGCAGCTTGACTTTGAAGAGAGATGGATAAAGATTTTCTTGGAGGATGTAATAGTTGGTGGAGCAGTACGTGGGGGTTGGCAGAGGAGAGGAGGAGGAGGTCTGTGAAGCAGTTCTTTTAGCTCAAACAAGGAGTGGGAATTGACAGAATTAGCAGCCAGGGGTTAAAATACAACATATGATGGAGAGAGTGCTCTTTTTTTAATGACTTGCACTGCAGGAAAGCGGTGAGGTTGCACATGCAGCCTTCTATTGTTAGAACTGCAGAGCTATTGCATTGAAAAACTCTTGCTGCTCCAGCAATGCTTCCTGCAAGATTGCCTTGGCATATGGCTTAGAAAAACTTGCATGGGGTTCCTAAGTAGTGGCATATAGGAGGAGCCTCTTTAGATGCTGCTGTGGCCATAGTCGGGGTGTTGAGTTTGCAGCAGTCGTGCAGATCAGGTTCAGATCCTCTGCCAGCACCTGCATAAACTTTTTTCCAGAGTCTGGTTTTTGTCCCCAGGCCTTTCTGTAATGCTTCTGTCACCTCCCCGACTCATTCTCAGACTTATGTATCTGGATTTTCTCTGGCTGCCCACTCTTGGCAGACATAGTGGCCACAATACAAATACTAGAATGATGGGTTTTTTTCTGGAAGTCTTTACCATACCAGCAAACTGTTGCATTGTTTTCATTTCCAGAGTTGTACATCTTGTGTTATCCCTTTCCTTGCCTGTGAAAGAGCAAGTATGAAGAGAGGTGTGTTTGTCAGAGTTCATGCAAGAGAGGGGACTGCCTGGTCAGGAGTGAGAGGAGGAGACCTTGGTGGCAGGAAGATACTGGATTATCTCAACTGTTAATGAAACAGCAGCCCGTGATTTGAGTGTTTGTTGATGTTTTTCCCTGGTTTCAATTCTGATTGATCCTCTTTTTTTCTTCCAGGCTGTGACAGCACTTGTGAAAAACTATCCGAAGCACATGGTTTCGTCAATGCAGCAGATCCTGCCCATTGTCTGGAATACCCTTACAGAAAGTGCCGCCTTATATCCTTTGTAGTGAATGGTTTTAACTAGAATAGAACAAGACAAACTCCGTCTCATACACAGTAATGACCTGAACGCTGCTGAGAGCATGGTACACAGAGTAGTCCACTGTGACAGGCAGAATACAGGCAGCTATGGTGAGGAGGTGCTGGGTAGTTCTGTTACTTCCCTGGGCTCTATTAAGTTTCCTTTAGCTTAAAAGTCATATGTGATGAATGATGTGAGTGCCTGTGTTATACTGGCTGTAGAATTGCAGCCTATCTCTGCGTTGTTTCTGGTACTCTTTGGTGAAAATTGTTTTCTTAAAAAGATACCAAGTCAAAAAGACTTCAAGTAAAGGAGAACCTGCAGTATCCCTTGCTGCAGCAGTGCTAATGGCTGGTTACACCTGCTGCTGAAGTTGATTTGCCTTTTGAATTTTACAATAGTCATTACTTCACTGCACAATCAGCCATGTTAGACGTGTTCTGTTGGTAGTTTTCCCAGTACTTGCAAACTGGTAAGTCAAATCTTTCCATGTTGTTAATCCAAAAGTTGCTTTTTTAGCCTTTTCTAATGAGACAGTAATTGTAGAATACTGAACCTTCTTGTAGCTTTTTCTGATTTTTTGTTATAAACACCAGAATTGAACACTGAGTTGTGATAGTAGCATAAGGTCTGACTGAGCTTTTCCTCTATAATTTAATAAGAATGACTGTTCTCCTAGAGGTCATAGATCCAGACCTTTTTATATCAAAACTGCTTGCATAGTCTTGTGTTTCAGAATCCTGCTGCGTGTTGGGTGATAGGCTGTTGTAGAGTGAAAATGGGCAGGGAAACCATAAAAGCAGCCTTAGTTCCGGAGCAAGTAGAGGCTGTGTAGTTTCAAGGTCCAAGGGTTTTGGGGGGGTTTTTTAGACACCTGTTAAAATACGAGAAGCTGTTTGTTAAATTTTTGATTATATGTTTCTCCCTCTCCAGTCCTGACTCCCACTGCAGTCCTGCTGGCAGCTGAGCTGAGAAAATAGTTTTGTGTTTGCAGAAGGGGAGAGTCTTGTCCTTCCTTCCCTTGCCTTTGCTCTGGCACTTGTTGGACCTTCAATTTGCCATCCCCAAAGAAACCCCCTTCCTCTCCACCCCCAGGTTAGTGTTTTGCCACTTCCCAGAGTTGGAGACTCGTGGAGAGGCTTGACGGGGAGCAGAGCCAACATAAGGTAGCACGTGGGATCATGAGGTGGCTCCTCACCCTTCGACAGCAGTGAAGTGTGAATTGGCTCATTGTTCCCTGGAAAGAGGGAGTCTGAGTGGTCCATTCTTGCAAAGTTTTAACATAAATGAAGTTTTGGATTATCTTGGAAGATGTGATTTAAGTGAATCAAATATCTAAAATATATACTGAGGTGATGCGGAAGTGGTTTGTGGAAGTTGTCTTTGAAGTTGGGCGAGGCACAAGGTTCTGGGGCTTGTCTCTGAAACACAGGACTGTGTGTAAAGTCAAAGATTTTTTTTTTTTTTTTTAAAGAAAGAAACTTCCCCAGTTATCAGAAGCTTTAAGATAGGAACAGATTAATTCCTAAATAGATGCAATTCATTAGAAACACGCATATTTACTTAACTCCATCCACTTATGTGAGAACAGAAGTAAATTACACAGAAGAGGTGGAGGACCCTGTGGATTCTGATGGTAAGAACTTGTTAAACTGCACTTCTACCTCCTCTTTTGAAGAGGAACGGACTTACCTAGATATTGTTGTCGTAACAGTGACTGAAACACTGTAGGAGATCATGCTTAAAGGTACATTTATGGTGTTAGAACAGTGTCCATCATTTCTTTGCAAGTTATACGTGATTGTGATCAATGAAGACGTGTAATTTAAGTTTTCTAACAACTCAAGGAGTGAGTTCTGCAGCAATTTTGAGATAAAAGGAGTGGGACGAAAGGAAACCAAACAGGTTTTGGGTTGAGCTTGATCAGTTTTAATGAGAGCTGTGCAGTGAGGTAGGAGGAGAGCAGAGAGTGATGAGGTGAGACATCCTTCTGGGGCTGCTGCTGTCCTTGCTAGTCCAGGAGTAGGAATAAACATTATCTTGTCAGACAAGCTAACAGTTTGTATTTATTTTTTATTTTTATTATATTTAACACCCATTTATACCCTTCTGTATGCTAGCATATCCAGTCACGGGTTTTTGTTTTCACTTCTACCCTTCTGTGTGTTGATGTATTCAGTCATGTTCTTTTTTTTTCCACTTCTTTGTTCAGGTGAAGTACTGGGCTTTGAAAATCTAGTGTTCAGCATATTTGAATTTGTTCATGCCTTGTTGGAGAACAACAAATTTAAGAGCACAGTGAAGAAGGCTTTGCCAGAGCTGATCTATTACATCCTCCTTTATATGCAGATCACAGAGGAGCAGGTGAGCACGTTTGTCTTGTGTAGGAAGCAAATAAGATGAGAGATTCAAACCGACTAATGTCCTAGGAAGAGTTGCAGTGCGTGGAAGCTGCGTAATCTAATGCTGTTTTGGCACTTTGCTGTGCCAGGAGGTAGGGCAATAGCATCCAAATGTTCCTATGTGGTGTAACATGGACAACAAATCACAGGATCACAGAATGGTTTGGGTTGGAAGGGACCTTCAAAAATCATCTAGTCCAAGCCCTCTGCCACAGACGGGCATCTTTCACTGGACCAGGTTGCTCAAAGCCCTGTCCAATCTGACCTTGAACACTTTCAGTGAAGGGGCATCCGCAGCTTCTCTGGGCAACGTATTCCAGTGTCTCACCACCCTCACGGTAAATAATTTCTTCCATACATCTGATCTAAATGTGCCGTCTTTCAGTTTAAAACTGTTGCCCCTTGTCCTGTCATGACAAGCCCTGGTAAAAAGTTTCTCTCCATCTTTCTTGTAAACCCCCTTTATATATTGAGAGGCTGCAGTAAGGTCTCCCTGGAGCCTTTTCTCCAGGTTGAACAGCCCCAGCTATCAAGTTCTCTTTCTTCGTTCCTTCATAAAGTATTGTGCTGTGATAATAAGGATTATCGTGTTGAAAGGGATAGCCAGGTTTCTGTGATAGTGCAAAAACTGTGCTAGTGGTGTGAAATAGTTTGTACTGAAATTCTACATGGCTCCTGACCTCCCAAGCTGCTATCTTTTTGTTTAGGTAGGCATGCATAAAAACAGGCACTCTGTTCTAAAGGTTCATCTGCTTCTCCCATTCCTCATCTATAAATAAAACTGTAGCATTGATTCCAGGTCAGTCATTAGTTCTGTCAAATTCTGATCTTGAATGAGGAGCAGAAGAGCGAGATGAGCTCAGAACAGAGGGTCTCTTCTTTTCAAGGATTTCTGCAATAGAATATAAGAAACACCAGTTGAAGACTTCTTATGACAGAGAAAAATTCTGAAAGTAGTTTTGCAAAACTGAGATTACTGGGAGCAGAAAATCTCCCTTTCACCTTTAGTGTTCTGTGTTCACCATCCACCACATCCTTGTCTCCTTTCCATTTCAGATAAAAGTTTGGACCGCAAATCCACAACAATTTGTGGAGGATGAAGATGATGATACGTTCTCCTATACTGTGAGGATTGCTGCACAGGATCTGTTGCTGGTGTGTTCCACATTTAGATAGAACCAAAATAAAAATAACAAGTAATAAATGTAGCTTTGTGTAGGGCATTTGGAGAAAAGGACAACTTTTAGAAGTCTATACAAGTAAGTGTTATAATTTCCTTCTATACAGGCTGTGGCTGCTGATTTCCAGAATGAGAGTGCATCTGCTTTGGCTGCAGCAGCTACAAGACATTTACAAGAAGCTGAGCAGGCTAAAAACAACGGTGCTGAGCACTGGTAAGGAGCTGGGGCAGCAGGGAACGACGCTGGTACGAGTGACAAGCTCTTTTGCAGCACTGCGTACAGCACAATTTAATCACATTTTTTTTGTGACATTGCTACTGATGGGTAAGGGTGAAATTTGAGAACTCTGAGTAGAACAAGGAAAAGGAAGTGCAGTAGTTCTTGAGCTGGGTGCCGAAATCTTCACATGTAATACTTGCAGCAGTTCCTAGCACCAGCTAGCTGTCCCCAGACTCCTTCCATCCAGACTCTTAACAATTCCTTAAAACATATAATTGGAAACTACAATTAGTTATATGCAGTCTGAAGAGAAATTGTCAATACTTTCACTTTCTGTTCAGTTAATTGAGCTCAAAATTTCAGGCATATCTTCTTTTACTTGATGTAAAGAAGAGATACCAGTGCTGTATGCAGATGTGTTCAATTTCAGAACTTCAGAGTTGCAGTTTTTCATGTTACTGGGGGATAGGAGGAGAGAGCTTAAGTGCAAGAGTACCTGGTTGTGGTTCCATAACTGTCCTCTCTTGATTTTACAGTGCATTTGCTCAGTGTTTGTCTTTATTTTGAATATTAGTGTCAGAGCAGCCACTGTGTATGGTGAGCAGCAACTGAATGTCAGAGAAATCGGATATTGAGTCCCTGTCTGCCTTATTTGTCTTTAAGTTTTAAAGTAGGTTATTTGCGTCACAAATAAAACCAAGGAGAAGTGGTGTTTGCCCATAACCATATTTCATCATCATTAACCAAACAAAATTCAAACATAGACATTTTTAAACCTTTAATGTACTGGGTATCACAGTGCTGCTGCAGATAGAATAACCAAGCAAGGCACAACTGGAGATGTAAACCTTCATAGAAAAGTCTCATTTCTTATTGTGGGAACAAAATTGGTGAAAGAAGTAACAATTATCAAGTAACTGATACTTTAGGAAGTGATTGAGAATGCTGCATATCCTGGGTAAGTTTCCAGGCCTCCAACTTGCAGAGTCTTGCAAATACTCATTTCTTTCAGGTGTTTTTAAATTCATTGCTTTGGTATCAAGAAAATAGTTATGGCAGCTTAGACAAAAAAAAATTAATGGTTTAACTGCAGTATTTTTATTTCTTTGTTAAGGTGATGGTGCAGGAAAAACCTAAAGGCATCTGAATTCTTTTGCAGGTGGAAAATACATGAAGCTTGTATGCTGGCCCTGGGCTCTGTGAAGTCTATTATTACGGACAGTGTGAAGAATGGTAGAATACATTTTGATATGCATGGCTTCCTGACAAATGTTGTTCTTGCAGACCTCAACCTTTCAGGTACATTGGCCTTTGCCATTACTCAGAGTAATTGCTTAGTGCCAGAGCTTGGAAAGCTCTTACCAACAAAAGGGTCTGATGAATCAGGTTGCTGTATGTGTGCGGTGGTGTGAAATGCAGTTTTGCACATTGTACATGTGGAAGGGAGTAAATCTTATCTTCTGAGTTCACACACACTGCCAGGTCTAATAGAAGTCCTTTAAACTGTAAAGTTTCTCCCAGTTGTATCTCCTATGAATAGAGAAACCTCAGAACTCTTCATTAATATATCTCCAATATGGGGAAATTGCTGTTTACCATGGGAAAAAAAAAAAAATCATGCTGAGAGAGTTGGGGCTGTTCAGCCTGGAGAAGAGAAGGCTCTGGGGAGATCTTCTAGTGGCCTCCCAGTACCTGAAGGGGCTACAAGAAAGCTGGGGAAGGACTTTTCATAAGGGCAGCTAATGACAAAACAAGGGGAAATGGGTTTAAGCTGAAAGAGGGGAGGTTTAGATGAGATATTAGGAAGAAGTTCTTCACTGTGAGGGTGGTGAGACAGTGTCCCAGGTTGGCCAGAGAAGCTGTGGCTGCTCCTCCCTGGAAGTGTTGAAGGCCAGGTTGGATGAGGCTTTGAGCAACCTGGTCTAGTGGAAGGTGTCCCTGCTGCTGGCAGGGGGTTGGGACTGGATGAGTTTTAAGGTCCCTTGCAACCCAAACCAGTCTGGGATTCTATGATTCTAAATGTGGGACGCTATGCTTTCAGCTGAAGCTCACTGTTGTCTGGATGCTCGAGCCTGTAGGACTTGGAGATGGAGGGGCGATTGCTTGGGGAACTTGGTAGAAAGTAGTTTGTCTGTTGTTTTGTATCAGTTTCTGGGAGAGACACCAGCAGTGTTTGAGGCTTCAGAATTCCTGCAGCAACATACTATTCCGCTTTCTTTATGCTGAGGTTGGCACTAGTCATAG